TGATTAGCGTTTTAATAACATGCGTCTAATATATCAAGCACACATTTTCGGTTTAAGAAAGGTGAATAAGGGTGCGACGACGCAACTGAATGAATTCACAGATAAGGTCAACTCTCTTCTACGTGCGGTTAAATTACCGGCTGCATCAATGTACACACTTTGCTGCAAAAACTAGATTGCACTACGCAAGCTTGCTGAAAGGATGATGCGCCGATGTTGTCCTATTTGCCACTGCCATCATCAATCTAAAAAGTCGTGCTGGCTCCTTGGTGCTCTGCCGTGTGTGGCTCGACTTTAGGTTAGTAGTTGCACATTATCACCTCTCGTCTTGCTTATAGTCTCCAGCTGCACAAATTTAAAGGAACAGCAGTCGTCTATGGCATTAGTGATGCAACATTTGCGTCCGATGGTTTTTAGTCAACATCAATGTCCAACCTTGAGTGTCGAAGTACTCCACATGCATACCGGCGTTGATTGCATTATCCATCACCGGTTATCAGCCCGGCTTCACTCTTGACCCTGCATTAAGCTAACTGCTGAACTGCCGATATGGCAAAAGACTCGCCTTGGCTGGGTCGTGACGGAAGGTGCTTCTAAGGCAAGCAAATCATCACTCGGGGCCATGCGATCTACCAGATCTGCTGGTAGACTCGTATCTATAGCCGAATGTACAGATTGAATAATTAATTCGTCGTTTTTGGGCACTGAATGCGGCACCGAGCCGGAGTCCTAGCCAAAATTTTAAGCTTCTGTCTATTGGCGAGTATTCGGTTCGTTTACCGCTCCGACTGGGAATGGATCAGCTGAGCACTCCTATCGACATGCGCTTCGGCGGTTTATTAATTTAGAAAGAAAACTAGACCTAATATTAAGGACCCAGTATGCAGCTTTTATCAAAAAATATCTTAACTTGATGTATCGTTGTATACAATGCGTCCTGGGCGTTAGCATCAGAAGATATAGAGTTACAAGTTAGACACCTATAATAACAAAAGTTAAAATTTGTTTGCAAAAATATCTGGAGAGAAAACCCGGTCTGGATGAGAGCCTGCCTGTACACTTAAGCTCAGCCTGGGTAAATTTTTCCCCTGATTTTAAGCACTCTTATATTTTGTGATTCCAGCTTGTGGGCTTATGGAGCATGCGTCTATGCATTTTCAAAGTGCCATGGCGACACTAGGGTAAGTTTCTTGTGCTCCAGGTCTCTTGTCGCTTCCGTAATATCCATCACTGTACCAAAGCTGAAACTCTGCGGAGCTTACTATTGGCTGAATTGCTCAGCGAAATATGCCGAATTAAAGTGTTCGTCCGTCGGTATTACTGTTAGTTAGACTTTGCCGTGGTTTTTTCTTGGACTGATGCTTCGAAATTCATTGTTTTCGCTGCCAACCGGTTCGTAGCAATCCGCAAACAGGGAAAGGCATCATATTCGCACTGAATAAAAGCCAGTGGATATAAATTCACGAGGAAAGGCCCATTGTGGGCCTATGGCCGAAGTTATCTCAGCAACGGAAAGGAAGGGCTGCCTGCCTCCTTTGTCCGTGTCGAATCCCTGCCAGAACTTCAACACAAGATATTACCCGGAACTACAGCACAACTTGATCTCTCGATTGGCAGCGATCTCATCAAGCTTGCAGCTTGGAGCAAGCTGCAAATCGAATCCGACGAGCTGAAGTATTTGTAAACCACGTGCATCATGGCACACTTCTGTTAATGCGGTCACCTCAATATACTACTCTTAACACTACAAGGGACTGGAGGGAGGAGGGCATGTCATATCGTCTAGCCTCTCTTGTACAAATCATTGATGACTTCGGCCAATTGGCAGTCGCAAAACAGTCTCCAGAACTGTTGCCAAGTGTACATTCTGTTTTCCTGCCAAGCCTCGATTGGTAGAGCATAAATTGGCAGACCTACCAGATAATCGTCTCGATACATCGTATCCCTTTATGGTTACTAGCATTGATTACTGTAAACTTTTCATACATGAGCGAAGTACGCAACAGGCCACCAGTGGAATGCTATATCATTCTGTTCATATGCTTCGCTACAAAGGTGGTGCATTTAGAGTTAGCGAAGGACTTGTCTTCAAAATTATTTCTCAACACCCTAAAACGGATCATCCTGACTCGCTCTCGACCATCAAGGGTCTGATGCGACAATGCGACAAACTTCGTAGGTCCCAAAAATAAGGTGGCAGATCTGAGCCTTTATAATCCTGAGTGACGAGAATATAAAGGCTGTTGACAAGTTTTGGTTATCCGGCTCAATTGAATTGCCGCTATTGCTATTTATTATCGACCATTACTTCCACTTTCAAAGCACTCATCCTGGATACAGCGTCAACTTCGTCACACATTGAGCCTGATCTAAGACAACTTGACTTCAATGGACTGAGGTGTTTTCTGCACGTCCCATATCTCTAACAAGTATTTTGGCAGTGTTGGTACGAAAAATATTTAACTGTTTTCCTTAACAGCGGTTCAAATGGCGAACTCTTCAGCCAAGACTTTTCATTAATGATATCGTCCTCAAAAGGACGATAATTTACCGGACCTGAAGTGGACACTTCTAGAGAGCTAGAGCTGATCACGCGATCCGGTGGGGTATCCAGAGTCGCTGTACTTCAGACTGCGACTGAAGTCATATGTAGAGCCGTGTGAAAGTTGTGTTTGCAGCACAAACAGGATCATGTTAAAATCCCTTATTTTCCAACGGTGGAGAATGTTTGGTCAAGTAACCAAAAGAGACAACACCGACGGCTGCGTGCAGTAGCCAACCGCACAATATTATCATGTATTATTATTGGGGATACCATAGGATATAAGTTATAATATGTCTTTTGCTTAGAAAGGCGATACCGAGAAAATTAGGTATCTTAGAAACACAATGATCGTATCGAAGTTACTCGAGAGATTATTTAACTGGATTGTAAAGTTTCAAAAACTAATTTCACACAGAAGTATAAATTCTGGAAAAATCAATTTAATTGTCGATGCATACTGGGAACGACCAACGCAAGCTACTGCAACCCAGTGCAACCTGAATACCAGCAATTAATAAATTATGGCTGTGCAGAATCATCAACATGCTTGAACGCGCAAGGTTTCTTAAATCATAAAATATTGACTACCGGGATCAAAGACAAACAGAACAAAGTTACGAGAGCTAAATGCGAACTAAAAAAGATGCACACAATAATGGCTGAAAATATATTCGTACTTAAATAAATTTGTTTGAAGCAATAAGTACACACCCCCAAGCAAATGTATGAACAGGGGAGTGCCCACACAGAAAATGAAAGGAAAATGAAAACAAAACTAACAACAACACGACAACAAAGTTACGCTACCCAGTATTTATTACTTTGCACTAGAAACAAAAGCGGCATAAAAAAAGCACTAGAATGCAAAATTTACAAACAGGGGCAGGTTAGAACCGAAACTTTATTTCTCTCCGATGACTTTCGTACACAGTAAATAATAAGCTTCAAGAAATGTAAGACGAATACCTAGAGGACGGAATTATACGTAGTTGCGATCTTAGGGAAATAAAAAATTTAATGCTTAAAAGGAAACGCAACAAACTTATACTATAGACATTAAGTGTACTTTACACTCCCGTTATTTTACACTATCGGTTCTAAACGTGGTTCTTGTCATCTTAAAACAAAACTAAGTTAAGCTTTGTCTGTGAAACTTATTACTGCTCTCGTTGCTTATAATAATTTCCCCCATTTTTGTAAATTGATATAGAGATCCTGTTTCTGAGCAAATCTGTAAGGTTTTAAAAGCTATATTCACGAAATTAGATATGGAACTCGATCAAATGCAAAGTTATTTGAGTTCTTTTTTTATTAAAACTCAATTCTGATTTTTCTTTGAGATATATCTTGTAATATTGGTTAATAATAATTGTGAGTTTGACATCAGCACTGGGAACTCTCTTGTTTTTAAATTATGTAAGGTATGAAGCTATAGCAAGTAGTTCTGTCGGGTAAGGGTAGTTTAAGTTCGACAACAGCAAAAGGAACTTACTTTTTTCTGTATTTCGATACCCTGAACCGATTAAAAGTGGGTTAAAAGCGTATGCAGAAGGAAGCATCTCCGACCCCATGAAGTATATATATTCTTGATCAGCATATCTATACCGAATCTGTCTATAAGAAATTTGAGCCGTAGGTCCTCCTAGTGTCTGCGCAGATCGAGTTTATTATTTATTTAGTAAATTAAGCAATTTATGCTAATATGAGTCACAATTTTAATGCAATTGTCATTTTACGAATACATAATATTTTATAGTACAACAAGATCTACTGCTGAAAATTTCATTAAGATCGGTTAATGATCATGAAAACAATGTGTATTGGCTGCCCACGTGTTTGCGGCAGCTAGCGTAAATTGAAAGAATTTCTTTATATATGTACACACCCACATGCAATCGCGTCTTCTTTAAAGTTTATCAACAGCATGGCAATGGCGACTGTAGGTTAATAAAAATTCAATTAGCCTCAGAAATTTGGGTGGCTGCTGAGCAGAAGTGGCGGCAAGTAGTTTGGTCTGCTGCGAGTTCGAACGCTACGAGGAAACTTTATATATTTTTTTTTGGCTGGTGTGGCGGTTGAGTAAAGTCGGCAGCAAGTAATGCGGTCAGTTGCGAGCTCGAACCCTGCCAAGGGAACATATTTTTTAATCTATCTTAATTACTACAAACAAGCTCGTAGCGCGAACTGCATTTGGTATTCAAATAAGAGGGTTCAGGGTTACCCCTAGTCAGGAGCTCCCGACTAGAACGTCTATCTTGTTTTTATTTTTCATACCCAAAACACATTGAAAATGGGTGGACAAGCATTGCACAGTCAGTTGCACCTGTCAGCAAAACTCTTATTTGTTTAATTTCATTTACATATGAAGGTATTTATTATTTAAAAATAATAAACAATAAAATTAATTAATAAATAATACTTTATATGTAATATATATATAAACTTAAAGCTACAAACTACATATAACCAAATTCTTATATATTTTAAACTTCGAAGTCTTGAATGGAGCTCATTATAAAATCATAAACCTCATTTATGTGTTTTTGAAGCTTATCTGAAAATTAAATGAAAAAAAATTAAGTTCTTGCCAAAGTTTTAATTAACAACTTTACCTTTATCAGTCTCCACGTGCTTACTGTTCATTCCTTCATCTTCAATAGTCATACTATCGCTAAACATATGCTTTAGCTTAGGTAAGACCAGCAGCAAACAAATTAAACCGATAAATTTGATTATTTTTTTAAATATTAATAACTTTAAAATTATTTTTCCAAGAGTAAACAAATTTATTTTAGATTTAAGTTTTCCTAAGAACGAATCGTTTGTATAATACGGTGTTGGATGAGAGTGTTTATAAAATACTGGTGATGGGGGGTTATATAATGGGGATTGTGGCAGGCCGTATACCGGACCCGGCGCTGGAGCTGGTGGCAAATAGTTATTATCTGTTGGCATGTTATATTGATAGCCTCCAATAGCACCTGATAAAAAATTATATAAAAGCTATAGATTAGTGCAATGGAAGCGGATCAGACCATTTAAAAATATTTATTTAGTTAGCACAAAATAAACACAAGGCCTGATTCACCAATGTAACATATAAATATAAGAATGTGTGGTTCTAATTAATACTTGAATTACTTTCGCCGTGTGACTGCAACACATTTTATTAAGGTAAGATGATAATGAATGAACTACGAGTAAGCTTATAACTCCTTGTGAAAATTTATTTTTCTTTTCATCCGATCATAAAAAAAAAAATGGTAACAAAGGGGTTTGAGTAAAAAGGGCGAAATGCCGATTTTTAACTATAACACATACTTCTGAAATGAAATGTTATAAATTATAATAGTTCTTAATTACGAAGACTGTGAGGGTTCGCCCATAATGAGAACGTATACGTAAATACGAATGTTCAGCTCTAATGGATATTAGATGACGGTTGTCTAATCGGTTGCCTAATCGGTTCTCAATGAGTCTCAATCAGTCCCATACCTGGACCGCAGTTCGTACAATCACTAACCAAACAACATATAGACTGGACATGAGTACCGGAAAGCAGTCACAAAATGTATCGGAGGCATTTGGTCCAAACTCGCGAGTAAGGGAGTAAGATATACATATGATGTATTTTTGAACCGCTTACTCTACAGGAAAGTGCTTGGCGCACTCTCTTCCATACGATTTGTGCGATAGAACGGCAACGCTGTTAACTTTTATCTCGCTCGCACTTACTTTTAGCTCTGGGTTAGCAATGGGTTCAGGGTATAACAAGTAAGCGGTTCTTGTCGGAAGCTCCCGACTAGGGTATACCCTGAACCCTCTTCTTCAAACCCAAAATGCAGCTCGCAAAAATCACTACTTTGTAGTAATTAAGATAAATGAAGAAAAGAGAGTTGATTGAATTCAAAGCAGACGGACATGAAAATGTGTGTATACACGTGCATATACAGAAATTCTTGCAATTTGCGCTTGCTGCTGCTAACACGTGCACAGTCAAGTGTAATGTATATATTATTGTCTCATAGAATTCTCAAAAAGTCAATTGCATTTAAATTATGACTTATATTGATGGGCAACATAAGTTGGGTTAATAACTTGATTTATAGCTCAGCGTTGGTTGTGGCAATGGGTATAAAATAAAACATACTTGATATATACTTATATAAATATCTTTTTAACCGGGCTACCAAAAGTGGCTAAATCCAAGGCTAAGTCGGCTGTCATTTCTTCTTCCCGCCTTTAGCGAATAATTATCGTAACTCTGAGAATGAATATTGAGTTTCAAATTCTGATCTTTAATTTTCAACAAATTTACATTCAACAAATTAAATAAAAGACTCAAGAACCTCATTTTTAAGAGATAATAATTTAAATAAAATGAGTAGTTTTGCCACATTAATATATATATAAATACATATTATATATATGTATATATATACTAGCGGGTATAGCCCGGCCCTGCCCGTGGCACGTGCATATACAATCTATGTTCTCAAAACGCTATGAAAATGAATTTGAAACTGATCGGACAGAAAATAAACAACTTTCACACAAACGTGTTCCACTTATTTACCACAGTTGCCGGTAGAATTGTACATATCGTTGAAACACGTATTCATTAAGTTTTTATGTATAACTTTAAAAATAATGATGAATTAAATCGGTAAAAATTAAAATATCACCAAAAAAATCTTTGAATTACATTTTTTACCGAGGATGCTTAGATTATGCGAAAAATCTAAAACAGGTATCAAATGATGTTTCTAATGGATCCTTGGAACTGAATTTAAGAGCGAAACGTCATCCACCAAATCTGTGACCCCCATTTCCACCAAGGAGCAATACATTTTTGCAAAGTGTGAAACACCCTTCAAATAAATTTGAACAAAGAACTTTCAAATTGAGCTTGCGGCCGATCGGATGGTAAACAAACAAGTTTTGTACAATTTTTTCACACTTGCCGGTGGAATTTCGCGAAACCCCGTATTACGGCCACCTTAAACACATAAGGTAACTACAGTGAAAACATCAGCTTCCTTGTTCATTCGGTTTGGACTGTGCGTTGATCAGTCAGTCAATCAAGACAAACAGTTCTATATATGGAGACATATGTGTACATACTAATTTTCTTCTATGGGCAGTGTTAATATATAATAATATATATATTATATATATATAATATATATTATATATATCCATTTATTTTTATTTTTAAGTATCTAATTTGATAACAAAAATTAAATTATTAAAGTCAAACATGAACAATACACAACACGCTTACCATATATATATATATATATATATATATATATAAGGAATCATTTGATCCGTCGTTCTGCCTCAGATTGGCCTGCGTGCGCCTTCCGCACGGAAAATGCTGTCGGCCATTATTCGCTTATTTGATTGATTGGCCGACATGCCTAGTCGAATTTGGTACAATACCGACGTACCTCCAAATATGCTCATTGCCACATATACTGATGAGCCAGCAGTATTAGCTGCAAGTCAATGCGAATATACAGCGACTGACGCCCTGCCTTATTCTAATTCAGTAGTGGACAAAACTGTGTGGCACTTAAACCAATGTCGAAAAGTCTTCCAGCGTCTTGTTCACCCTACGTTGCAACACCTGTCCAGGCGTATTCTTTGACGACCAGCTTATACCGCATCTACAAGCCACAGATATCTTTGCATTTCGCTGGACAAAAGATTAAATTAGACAGCACTCTTATCCAGCACGGGAATCAAGGCTAAGGCAAAGCTTGTAAAACTTGACTAGCTGGACACTGAAACTCTCCAAGATTGGTGATGAAATCAACCACCACTCTAGTAGGAGCAACGACTGCCGAGCCCATCACCCCAATGCAGCTGCAAGACAACTGCTACAAACAGTAACCACAAGAAGACAAATTCAATAGTAAAAATTAACTTAATAAATTAAATTAAATTATAAATGAACTCACATACAACCTCGGACAATCTCAGACCTGGCGAACATTAACACACATATTATATAAGATCTTATTGCGCCGATCAAAATAATAAAATGGCAAAAAAATAGAACATATTTTATTGATTTTATTGTTTATTCTTATTTTACGGATTCGTATGGCTCCTTGTTTTTACACAATTTAAACAATAATTTTGGCTGCCCTGCACAATTCTATGATTGTTTATATATATTATAATTTTATGCTAACAACATTTTTGAGTATGGCTTCTGTTGTTCTTTTTCTTGATGGCATCGGCAAATATCAATGCAAAAATCTTATTTTAATTAACCTTACTTTTAACAAAGCTATTGAAGGAATACTACTATGCTGTGTGACAGGTGCAGGATTATTTCGATTTCGTCCCGAGTCACCTGTCTCCGAGGCTGAGACACAAATAATGGTGACTAATAAATAACACACAAAACTTCCCCAAAATCACATTTTTAACACAAGAGGCCTTTTTCATTTCGATTACCACGATGCTACGAAGGACGGTCGCAAACGCTTCGCCAACATGCGAACGTGCCACATTGCCTTAAGCCGCAACGAAAAAACCCGCCATGCTATTGAATACTACGGTAAAGTCTGCTTTCGTCCCGCTTCTCGGATCCCACTATAGGCTGCGTGATTATGGCCCATTAAAACGTACCCATAAGATATCAGATGAATGAATCCTATAGCCGAGGGAAACTTCTTCTTCCGTAACATTTATTTTCAGAGTCATTACCGACTTCAATGAAACCGGGTGGTCCTTCTGCATGCAAAGTCATATAAAAAAGGCACACGACGTAGACATTGTCTTGTGAAGAAGACTTAAACATGCTAAAAATAGGTGAACAACCCGACACTAGCAACACGAAGTACAAATAGCATGAGACGATTACATCTCCCTCTACGTTGTCTGAGATTTGGATCATTCGGCAGAGCAATTTGTCAGGAATATAATCTCACTGCAATTGTGCGGTCTGCGAATGATTAGAGGACCATTCTAACGAAGAGTTGACACAATAGAGACTAGATTGGACTCTGAAGAGTTACGCGGCCTTTGTGAGTGAGTCGTACATTGCTCTAGTAGTTGTTTTAGCCAATTTAGGAAAACGATACGGACTAGTAGACGCCGGTCGGTAGGGCTGTATTGCAGATAGATGACATTCCAACCAAAGCATGACATTCCCTCCCCCTGTTGTTGTAAAGTTGCAAATTGTAAGCTTTTTTTTTGAGAAGCAATATTTTAACAGGCATTTGTATTGTAGCTTTATAATTTTCCATATTTGTTCAGCGTTCAATTTTTTTTTTGTTGTTCTTAAAATTTAGATAAGAATTTGAGTTAAACAGCGACGCATGGCGCATTGTAAGCCAATACGTCCCGGGACTCGACTAGGAATGATAGACTGTTGAGTTGCATTGTACAAAGTAAAGTAGCTCAGAATATGGAGAAATCCGTCCCGAGCTAGATGACCTGCTGTGCCGAGGACAAACACGAGGGAGAAAATCAGGGAAATAATCAGAGAGTCTACACTAGTCGTGAGGTGAGAGGTGGAGTGATGGAAACTTTCATATAACGAGAACAGAAGTCCGAGTTCCCACAATACCATTTGCAACTGAAATTTTGCACAAATACAATATACCGTTTTACCCATTTTTGATGGGTTCAGGGTAATGGGTGTTTCTTATGGGTGTTTTCTTATAGCTTTGAATATATGCTGCCCACCAGTATAAGCAGCAATGTAAATGCAATTGACTTTCTGTTAAAGTACGAATATTCCATATCACAATAAAATGTACTGTAGAAAATTACATTAAGATCGCTTAAGAAGTTGTTTTGACAGCGCACGTGTCAGCAGTAGGTGCAAATTATTTCGTGTCTGTTTTGCATTACATCAACAACACTGCGTTTGCGATAGTATTGTTTTTTGTGGTGCTATTTTAATTAATATTTGTTATGGGTGTTGAGAAGTGACGGCGGCAGGTAGTGCGATTTGTTG